CTGTGGGTGTGTCAGGTGTTTATGTCTGCGTGTCTGTTCCTAGGTTGTGTTTACCTACGCTGATCTGTGTGTCTGGTCCTCTGTTTGTAGATAAGCGTCTATGGCCTCATGGTTTGTGTGTCTGAATGTGTGTTTGTGGGGCCTGTTTGGTGGATCAGGATGTATTTACAGGATGAGCATCTCTGTTGGTCTGATTTCTCCAAAGTATGTATTTGTGGCTCTGAGCACCGTTATCAGGATGTGTGACTCTGTACAAATGTCCATCTATGTCTGTCTATCTGTCTGTGGGTCCTTAGAGGTGGCGTTGGGTTTGTGTGCCTCTGTTTTCTCTCTAAGGACCCGAGTCATGTCTCTGTTCCTTTCTCTCTCTCTTTCTCCCTCTCTCTCTCTCTCTGATTCCTGCTCCCCCCACCCCACCTTTCTTCCTTTTCTTCTTCCCATCCCCCCACCAAGTGGATCCGGGACCCAGGGAGGGCCGTCCTCCCGGCCTGGTGGCTCTAAGCAGGGCCCCCCAGCCCCCACCTCCTACTTCACGACATGAACCTTCTCTACCGAAAAACGAAGTTGGAGTGGAGGCAGCACAAGGAGGAGGAGGCCAGGAGGAGGTAAGGCTGTGTCCTGGAATGCCCCCCACCTGCCTACTTCTGCCTCCCCCTCGCTGGGTCACATCCCGTCTGATCTCAGAGTCTGTACAGAATTGCTGGAATGGCACACACCCTGTCCCCACCCTGCTCCTGCCTCCAGACTCTGTCCTGCCCTTTTGGGGGGCTTCCAGCTTAGGAGCACCCTGTTGGCTCTTCTCCATTCCCAGAGGCCCAAGTCACTCCTCCCTCACTCACCTCTGGCCTGTGGTCTTCTCTCAGTTTGGGGCTGGCTCCTGGCTCCCCTGTCATCTGACCTTGGAAGGGGCAGGCCATGCTGCCCTCACAGTCCAGGGATGGGGTCATTTGTGGGGCACCAGAGAAGATCCCTTTGGCCCCCTCTCAGCCTCTGCGGGGGGAGGTGAGTGGCCAAGTGGTAGGGCTGTGTGTGTGTGGTGAGGGACATGTAGGCCCTTCAGAAGACCAGAGCTTGCCCTCTCTCCTTGCCCTCCCAGGGACCTGGGGTCTGGCCTCTTCTGTCTTGCTCCCTTCTCATCTTCACTCCCATTGACTGCACAGCCTCTTGGAGCCTGAGTCAGAGCCATTTCCCTGCTCCCTTCTCCCTCCTCGAAACTAGAGTTTAATTCTTGTTAATTAGATTAATCAGAGCTATCATTGCAGTGATCTCTTCCTAATGAAGGGTTAGTAGACAGGGCCTTAATGAAAGCCCACCCCACAGTTCTCCCCCTCTTGCCTGCCAGCCATCCCCTAACCTTCACTCATCCAGAAGCTCAGGGGACAGTGAAAGGGAACGGGGGTGAGCCTGGGAGGGTGACAGAGAGAGGACAGCACTGAGGAGAGAGACAGACAGAGATCAGCTCAGCCGGGGGAGGCTGCTCTAGCGATGTGGTGGTACAGCCCCGCGTCTGGGAGAGGAGGTGCGGTGTGGTGCGGAGCATAGGCCACTGAGGCTGGACCTGGGGAAGGCCAGAGGCCAGGTGTGAGCAGGAGTGAGCCAGATGGGGTTGTGCTGCCTGGGTGTGCCATCTCTCTGCCTGTGTATGAAATCGTCCACATGTGTGCTGTGTGCTGGATGTGCCTAGGCTGAGGTCGGCCAGCACTGGGCTGCTCCCCTGCACACATACGTTCCTCTCCTCTCATCCCATTTTTAAAGCCCAGGGATTCTGCCTGAAGCTTCTACTTCAGTGCCCTGGACCTACAGGCCTCCCCCCATCCCCACCCCAGTCCCTCTTCTTTCTCCCTGGGAGGCCACAGGGTTGCAACCGACCTCTGCTCCATCTTGGCCTTCTCTCCCCAGCTCCAGTAAGGAGGTGGCTCCTGCAGGCTCGATAGGGCCCGGGGCTGGCCCAGGGCCCGGGGTCCGTGTGCGGGACATCGCCTCTCTGCGCCGCTCCCTCAGGATGGGCTTCATGACTATGCCCGCCTCCCAGGAGCACACCCCCCACCCCTGCCGCAGCGCCATGGCCCCTCGATCCCTCTCCTGCCACTCGGTGGGCAGCATGGACAGTGTGGGGGGTGGTCCTGGGGGAGGAGGTGGGGGTCTCACTGAGGACAGCAGCACACGAAGACCCCCGGCCAAGCCCCGGAGACACCCCAGCACCAAGCTCAGCATGGCAGGGTCCGGGGCAGAGACGCCCCCTAGCAAGAAGGCAGGTGAGATACCCCCAACCCTCCTCAGGGGAAGCACGGAGTGGGGAATTGGAAGGATCCATTCCAGGCCAGGGGAGTCCTGCTGGGAGGGTCCATTCAGGGAAGAACCAAGGAAATGGAAGGTTTTGTTCTCAGAAGGGCTGGGGGTGGTTCCTTTTCGGAAGGGTGTGAGATGGATTATTCAAGGACAGGGGAAGTTTCCTGAAAAGTTCCATCTTGGGGAAGGAGTGACATGTCCTTGGAGGTACATGAGGGTGGGAGAGAACTGAGGGTGGGAGCTTCAGATTCTGAGGCGTTCATTAGAAGGACTGCGGGCTGACTGGTAAGATGGGAACCCACTGGAGCTGTAAGTTGAGAAATGTGGGCAAAATGAAGAGGCAGCTATGTCCTTGCAGGCAAGTCAAGAGGTCAGAAAGGGTCTCCCCTATTCCCGTCCGCAAACAAGAGCACAGTTTATTTTTCTCTTTCCCGTTTTTCCCAGGCTCACAGAAGCCAGCCCCAGAGGGCCGAGAGTCTAGCCGGAAGGTTCCTCCACAGAAGCCCAGGCGAAGCCCCAACACCCAGCTCTCTGTCTCCTTCGATGAGTCCTGTCCCCCAGCTCCCTCTCCCCGAGGGGGAAACTTGCCCCTTCAGCGCCTCAGTAGAGGGTCCTGCATCGCTGGGGACCCTGAGGTGGGTTCCCAAGAAGAAGAGCCAGTGTACATTGAGATGGTGGGGGATGTCTTCAGGGGAGGAGGGAGATGTGGAGGGGGCCTGACTGGGCCCCCTCTTGGGGGTGGGGGTCCGACCCCTCCAGCTGGCGCTGACTCAGACTCGGAAGAGAGCGAGGCCATATACGAGGAGATGAAATATCCGCTGCTCGAGGAGGCAGGGGAAGGCCGGGCCAATGGGCCCCCTTCGCTGACCATCGCCTCCTCGCAACACCAGCCTCATGCCCTCCAGCCCCACACCCACCATCGTCCAGCCTCCGCCCTCCCAAGCCGGAGGGACGGGACACCCACCAAGACCACTCCTTGTGAAATCCCCCCGCCCTTCCCTAACCTCCTTCAGCATCGCCCTCCACTTCTGGCCTTCCCCCAAGCCAAGTCTGCTTCCCGAACCCCTGGCGATGGGGTCTCAAGGCTACCAGTCCTCTGCCACTCCAAGGAGGCAGTGGGCTCTACCCCAGCTCCCCAAGTGCCTGCCCGAGAGCGGGAGACGCCTCCCCTACCACCGCCTCCTCCTGCTGCCAACTTGCTGCTGCTGGGACCCTCGGGCCGGGCCCGGAGCCACTCAACACCGCTGCCACCCCAGGGCTCTGGCCAGCCCCGGGGGGAGCGGGAGCTCCCCAACTCCCACAGCATGATCTGCCCCAAGGCGGCAGGGGCGCCGGCAGCCCCTCCTGCCCCAGCCACCTTGCTCCCTGGCCCCCCCAAGGACAAGGCCGTGTCTTACACCATGGTGTACTCAGCAGTCAAGGTGACCACCCACTCCGTCCTGCCAGCTGGGCCTCCCTTGGGTGCTGGGGAGCCCAAGACAGAGAAGGAGATCTCAGTGCTCCATGGGATGCTGTGCACCAGCTCAAGGCCCCCCTTACCTGGGAAGTCCAGCCCCCACAGCGGAGCCATGGGCACAGCAGCTGGGGTTCTCCATCACCGAGGCTGCCTGGCCTCCCCACACAGCCTTCCGGACCCAACTGCAAGCCCCCTCACCCCCCTCTGGACCTACCCAGCCTCAGCAGCTGGGCTTAAGAGACCCCCTGCCTATGAAAGCCTCAAGGCTGGGGGGGTGCTGAATAAGGGCTGTGGAGTGGGGGGCCCATCCCCCCTGGTCAAGATCCAGCTGCAAGAGCAAGGGACTGATGGGGGTGCCTTTGCCAGTATTTCCTGTGCCCACGTCATCGCCAGTGCAGGGACACCAGAAGAAGAGGAGATGGGTGCAGCGGCATTTGGGGCAGGCTGGGCTCTGCAGCGGAAGGTCCTGTATGGAGGAAGGAAGGCAAAAGAACTGGACAGTGAGTGAAAGGAAGGTGGGAGGGGTGCGGATGACCATGGTAATTTAGGGGAGGCCTTGGAGGAGTTATTTGGAAGCCATGGCCCATTGTCCTGAACTGGGAAGAGTTCTGGGAGACCAGAGGGCTGGGGGTATGCAATGGACTAAAGGGACGGGGTTCCCAAGTGTGGGCTGAAGGGGCAGTAAGATCTGAGCTGGGGAGGTAGAATCTGGCCCCCAGAGCAGCCTCTCCTCCTGCCCCATCCTGCTGTACTCCCTGCCCCTCCCTTTGCTGGGCTGCAGGGGTGTGTGTGAGTGTGCGCACACTTGGAGCTAAACACAGCTGCCTCCCAGCTGTTACCATGGCAACTTGTCCAGACTGGAGGAAGAGGAGAGGGAGGCCCCTACTGTTGCCTGGCAACGCAATGCTCTGCCAGGCCTACTCTCAGTGATGAGCTTAGCTCACAGACAGCCCTTCCTCCAACAATTTCCCCCCAACATACACACGCACACTTCCTGGCTCAGGATATAGGATTCTTCCCCTCCTGGAGATAGGGCCCCTGTTCTGTTTGGTAGGTAGCCATTACAGCCCTATCTGGGGCTGTAGGGGCTTGGAAGCTAAAGCTGGGATAGGGTAGGCCCCTCTGCCAGGAGTCATACCAATGATTGCAATGGAAGGTAGTGATACTCGGGTTCCTCCTGTGTGTGAATGTGCTGGGGAGTGTGACATAGCCCCCTCCCTTCCCAGCTGTGACCTGCAAAGGGGCAGCTACTTGTGATCCACCCGCACTGCAGTGTGTGGAGCTGGGGGAATAGCAAGACCCCTCCCACATGCAGGCACTGAGCTCTCCTTGTCATCCCAGCAGAGGCTGAGGAGAGTGCCCGGGCCTGGAATGGCAGCACTGAGGGTCCAGCCAAGGTGGAGCGCGAGGACAGGGGTCCTGTGGCATCAGGGATCCCAGTGAGGAGCCAGGGGGCAGAGGGCCTGCTGGCCAGGATCCACCACGGAGGAGACCGAGGAGGGAGCCGCACGGCGCTGCCCACACCCTGCCAGACCTTTCCGGCCTGCCACCGAAATGGAGGTGACACCGGCCCTCCCACCCCTGTGCACAGATGGGGTGGTCTGGGGGGAATCTCCCAGGGCCCATGTCCTGGGGCCTACACCCTAATACCTCATCTGCATCCCCTTCCCTCTGATGAGGCAGGGGGCCGCCTGGAAGGGGCTGTCCTCGGGGAAACGAGTGGGAGCCCTGAAGGCCCCTTCCCTCACTTCCTCCTCAGACTTCACCGGAGGCTACCGCCTGGGCCGCTCTGCCTCCACCTCTGGAGTCCGCCAGGCCGTGTTCCACACCCCCAGACCCTGCAGTCAGCCCCGGGATGTCCCCAGCCAGGTGAGGAGGAAGATGAGGTTGGGTTATATTTGTGAAGGGACAGATAGAGAGGAAGGCCAGGATGTGGAAAGAAAGGCATGAAGTCAGGCTGGGCCCTGGCCAGACTAATAGG